GCTGGAACTGTTAGGAATGGAACTGGTGTAGGAGATGGAACTGGTGTCGGAGATGGAACTGGCGTTGGAGATGGAACTGGTGTTGGAGATGGAACTGGTGTGGTGTGGAGAGATGAACTGGAAGAGATGGAAACTGGTGTTGGAGACTGGAGACTGGTGTTGAGATGGAAACTGTGTTGGAGATGGAACTGGCGTTGGAGAATGAACTGGAGACTGGTGGAGATGGAGATGGAACTGGTGTTGGAGATGAACTGAGATGGAACTGGGTTGTTGGAGATGGAACTGCGTGTGGAGATGGAACTGGTGTTGGAGATGGAACTGGTGTTGGAGATGGAACTGGTGTTGGAGATGGAACTGGTGTTGGAGATGGAACTGGTGTCGGAGATGGTGAAGATGACGCTGATCTTGAAGATGGTGATGGTGAGGATGATGCTCATAGTGAAGGTGGTGGTTAAGGTGAAGATGATGTTGTGTGAAGGTGGTGGGATGGTGAAGGTGGTGGTGATGGTGATGGAGAAGATAAAAATGACAATGAAACAAAGTTATGTCAAATATACGTAAATGGACGTACTGATAGTGATTTAGGTACTGGCGGTGGTGATAGGACACAGACAATGATTAAGCAGATTAAGGTGAAGAAATGAGACATGTAGAAATGATATATCAGAATGTATGTTTATATGATTCATTATGGTAGCTTTACATATATCATCAAATTAGATAAAGAGGTATATCTTGTGGTCATTAGATAATGATAATATAATAATGATAATAATAATGATAATGAAAAAAAAATATTGTCAATAAACAGGCAAACTGCAATTAAGTCATATATAACACGTATGTAACACTCACGACATACGAGATTTACACTTTATAATGAAGTCTTGATTAAACAATCTGAGGAAATGCTTTTGAATATTAAATACAGTATCATCATTGACCCTTCTTAGAACATAAAACACATCTAACAGAATTATGTTTGGCCAGAATGTGAATAGAAGAGAATGTGTCAAATCTGAAACACCACTCAGCATATACAAAAGCATCTAAAAGCATTACATTTCGACGCAATGTGAACATAACAAAGCCTGTTAAAACTTCAAAATAACATCGCCCTTCTTAACACATAAAAAAATATAACAATATCACATTTCGGCACAATATGAGCGTAAGAATGCCTTTGAAAACTTAAACATAATATCGCCATTCTTAGCACAATTGCATATTAACCCTTCTTAAATAAGCATCTAACAGCATTATGTTTGGCTAGTCTGTGAACAGAAGCGAGTTTGTCATTTCTTAAACATAATATCACCAATCTTAGCACAAAAAAATAAGCATCTAACATCATGTTTGATCAGGCTGTGAATAGAAATCTTTGTCAAATCTTAAACATATCACCACTCGTAGCACATAATAAGCATTGAACAGCATCATGTTTCGCCAGAATGTGAGCAGAAGAAGCCCTGCCGAGACAGAGGCGGAGAATGTGCGAAAACATGTCAGGAAGACGACGAGGTTTCCAGCGACCTGTGTGAGGAGGACTGCCGTTGCTGCATTCCGAAAGGTAAGGCACTTCTCTCTTTGATTATTTGGCTTGTTTATTATTGATTATTATTGTTGTTAGTATTTTTATTGTTTTATTATTATTATTATTATATTATTATTATTATTATTATTATCATTATATTATATTACTATTATATCATTATTATTATTGTTAGTATTACTATTATTATTATTATTATTAATTATTATTATTATTATTATTATCATTATTATCATTATTATTCATTATTATCATAATCATTAATGGGTCATAAAAAATTACTGCAAAAAGATTCAGGTTGTTTAAAAAGTCCCGAAAAGGTCAGTATTGCAACAAGATACCAACCTCTTAAACCATTAACAAAAACAACAAAGACAACAGAACAACATAATAGCAATAACAATATGAACCGTAATTGTGACAATAAAAACAACAAGAACAAAAATAACAAGAAAGTTAGAAAAAAGTTAGAAAGTTAAGAATAATATGTACGTTGATTTTACACGCACGTACACAAAATCTTCTTCACTTTATTTGTATATCTTTAACAGGTGGTGATGGTGACGATGGTGGTGATGGTGAGGATGACGCCGATGAAGATGGTGAAGATGATGGTGAGGGTGAGGATGGTGATGATGAAGATGCTGATGTTGGAGATGGAACTGGTGTTGGAGATGGAACTGGTGTTGGAGTAGGTGACGGTGTCGGAGATGGAACTGGTGTTGGAGATGGAACTGGTGTTGGAGATGGAACTGGTGAGATGGAAACTGGTGTTGGAGATGAACTGGTGGAGATGGAACTGGCGTTGGAGATGGAACTGGTGTCGGAGATGGAACTGGTGAGATGGAACTGGTGTTGTGAACTGGATGGAACTGTGTGGAGATGGAAACTGGTTGGAACTGGAGATGGAACTGGAGATGGAACTGGTGTTGGAGATGGAACTGGTGT